TAGTGCAGCGACATTCTCGACGTATCGCCTCGTAGCAGCGCTCGTGAACATGCCGTGCGTGATCGGCAGCTTCCTTGCAGTACGAGCAGTCTTCCACTTCATAGTCTCAAATGCCTGCTGCAAGTCTGTAGCCGTGCTGTGCTCTCCCGCGCACGCGCGATGTCCGTCTCGTGTTTCGCTCGTACGCGATCCTCTGGCGCTCGACTTCGTTCTTTTGCTGTTTCGCCGTGTCGCGGGACATGCTGAGCTCACCCTTGAGGCTCTAGATGTCGGCTTTGGATTCGGCGTGCTGGGCTCGGATCTCTTGAAGCGTTACTTTGGGGTTCCAATTCTTGTGCTTGTACTTCTCGGCGGACGAGTTAGGTCGTACACAGTCGGCATGGATGGACAATCACCTACCCGGGTGTCTTGTACCGCAGTATGTACACAATTATCTACGCAGCTGGATTCAAGCTTAGACAACAATCACGACATCGAGTGCAGTCAAGACATACCAGCTATACGGAGATTCTGCAACATACTATCCATCTCAAGCAGCATCCTCACCATATTCAGCTCGATACTCCGCACTCGTATACAAATAAGCTCGACGCGAGGTACGAGCGGCTTGAGCAGAGGATGCCGAGATGCCGATGTGGCTACGCCACAATCGGGTGGCAGCCAATCACAAGCCGCGGTCGGACTCTGAGCGTGTCGGGTGAACCCGGAGTCGGCTAAAGCCGAAATCCCGGGCTGCACCAAACATGCTAGGCGTGACAGGGCTGAAGGTGGGCGAGTCAAAAAATGCTGACTCCGAGCCCAGCAAGCAGGTGCGGGCGAGGGAGAGGCAAACGAACGAAGAGCTGACGCGTCGCGCTGAGCTCGAAAAGAAAGAGAAAAGAAGCAGCGCGCCACGTGGTACCCACGTGCTCAGCGCGTGCAGCCTCGCGCCACACCTAGCTCGGCCGTTGCCGCCCCGCTCTCTCCCCCCAACCCCAGGAACTCGTAACGCTGCGTTGATCTCGTGTTCTCTCTTTCTCTCGTCTGTAGGATTCGGCCTTCGCATTCCCTGGTAGCTGACGCTTTCCCTTTCCCTCTCCCACTCGCCACGCCCTAGCTTGGCTCGCAAACTCCTCCCTTCGCACTATGGCGGAATCGCACAGTCGAACGTGACTGGCCGCTGATTGAGCTCGAAGGCGTGCCGAGTTGAAAGGGTTGGAGCTGAAGGCGAGAGTCAATGGAGGACATCCATCCCAGGTCAATATTCTGCTTCTATCCGCAATGCCAATAAACTCGCAATGATTCACAGAGGTCCGCGGCGACAGCGTCTGCGTGACAGCATCAGCAGTCTCCGTGGATGCCTGCACCTCAGCTTGTACCAGGGATGGAGGAAACTCCACAGCCTCAACGGCTAGCGCGCGAGTAGGCAGGATGACGGGAGCAGTATCACGCTGGATAGCCATCTCCTCGCGCTCCGCGACCATATCCGCATCTGTCTGCATGCCCGTCTCAAGTCGCACAATCTCAGGAATAGGTTACGGCTCGGGTACATGCGTCGGTTCAGCCTGGATAGCTATCTCCGCGACCTTAGGCTTGACAACAGGCGCAGGTGCTGGAGGCTCGGGAACTCGCTCAGGCTCAGTCTGTGCGCCAAACTCGGCAGTCTCGACTTCCGGTTCGGGCAGTCAATACCGAGGTCAGCCGCCAAGACTTCAGCTGGTCCAATGAGAGACGGAGTCCTACCCTCCTGGAATGCATGACTTCTTCTCGCACGCCGGCCCCGCAACCTCTACTCGCAGCCACGGACTGTCGGAGCGGGCTGGACTGGTTAGGCAAGGAGCCCGCAGACAATGATCGATGGAGGATATTCGCGAATGCGGAGTCCATACCGTCGATGCTGGCATGGTTCGAAGGCGTAGGGGATGGCGTTCCTTGGACGGGGCTCGTGACCTCTTCGTCTGAGTCTTCTGTCTCTGGTCGGAATTTGGTAGGTAGGTGGGGAGCTGGGGCAGCAGTAGCAGGAATCTCATTCATAAAGTCGTCTTCGTCCTCGACATCGGACAGATCCTTTGCTTCCCAGACCGAGCTACTGGGCAAGGGTAAGCCGTCCATGACCCCGACCTCTTCCGCGCCCTCTGCCAACCAGACGGAAAGGCTTCGGCTTCGATAACTCTGCCGCCTCTTCAGTTACGACTTCCTTCTCCTCCCCTTCTTCCGGCTCCTTGTCCCCATCTTTTGACCGCAAGCCTCCAACCGTCTCTTGTAATCTATACACATCTCCTTCTCCCTCTGCACGGTGGCCTTTGGGGTATTGATCTGCCTCTGCGCATGAGCAAGCCGCTGCTGCAACACCTCAGTCTCGCTAGCAGGATGACTGCCAGCCTTGAATGGTCGCCGAGGCGATGGATCAGGGGAATCATCGAGCTCGCCGACCAAGCTATCACCGAAAAATCCAGAGGCGTCGTACTTCTTGTTCCTCGCAGACGGCCCGCCCTTAGTGCCGCAAACGTGCCCTTCCTCCTTCGGTCCGGGGGTGCTTAGCTGGCTCTCACCAACCCCGTTCGGCGTGGCGGAACCAAACCTCGGCAGCTTCTTTGCAGCGCGAGCAACCTCCGCCTTCATGGTCTCGATTGTCTGCCGCAAGTCTGCGTCCTCGCGCTGTAGCCCCGCTGTGCTCCTCCGCACATGCGCAGTGTCCATCTCATGCTTCGCCTTTAGCTCGTCATACGCGATTCTCTGGCGCTCGGTCTCGCTCTTGTGCTGCTCGGCCGTGTCGCGAGACGTGTTGAGCTGCTTCGCTAGATGCTTGTGCTCTCCTTCGAGGCCCTGGACGTCAGCTTGGGATTCGATGCGCTGGGTTCAAATCCCTTGGAGCGTCACTTCGAGGTCCCATTTCTCGTGCTTGTACTTCTCTGTGGACGAGTTGGGTTGGAAAGAGTAGGCATGCCCGGCCACGTTCTGCTCTTGCTGCCTGAGACCCGTGCCCGGATTCTCGATCGTCCCTTCCAGATCGTCCCACCCCGCCTTAGTCTCCAGGAAAGCATTGTCACGCTCAGCGTGAAGTGCCTGCAGCCGGCCAACCAATGATTTCAAAGCACTTACGTTGGTTTGAAAAGGGGGGGATGTCTTCGTCCACTTCGTCCTTTTCATTGACTTCCTCACCTTTAAGGCTCTATAAATGCTTGCAATCAAAGAGATGAGTCGCTGGTTCTCCCCAACTTCATCCCGGAAGCATCGGTTCCGTACAGTTCAGACATAAGACGCATTGCGGCATTGGGTGCCAGAACATCCCAGTCTATCCTCGAAGCTGCGCCATGTTCATGATTGAAGGATCGAGCAATTATGCTGGGGGTGAGAAGACTTTACAAAGCAGCAGGAGTGGCGGTCGAGAGTGGACGCGTCGCGTCCTCGCGGTATCACGTGTGCTATCACGTGATTCGCGTCATAGGTGCCAGTCGCGTCGCGGCGGCGATATGCTCTGAGTATCTTGTTTGTCACCCACTTGCAGCTGTGCAGCTTACACGCTCCGGAACAGCTACAGAGTCCAAAGCTCCAGATGAACCCTATATCGAACCGACATGGAGTGCTACCACTATGGAGGAAGGCATTCATCCAGCGTGGGCTGGGATGAAGGTGTCGGAATAGGAGTCCCCCAGCGAACGGACCGACGTGCGCTTGTTACCCCCCTACACCTTGCTCTACACGGGAAGATATTCTTTCTGCCAGCTCAGGCAACAAGCACTTGTGCGCCTACCACAAGCTGCTCGGAACTGGCATCAAAAGTGCGTCAGGGCCATGGGTTATATGCGATGCACCAGGCATCCTCGACAGCAGAAGGCAGGTCGAGTTCATTGCCGGAAAAGACTACAGCGTGTAAGCAGAAGGGGGTGCGGCTATTCGCCAATAACGACTTACAGCCACGGAATCGACACTGACCCTGTTTCCGTCCCCCAAGCCGGCTTATGCTGCAGTGGAATCACGGTTGTCAGAGATGCGAATGAGGTCCGAGATGATGTGAGTGGCTTCACCGATCCGGTGCATCACATCGTACATATATGCACACTTTTGGCAGTTGATATTGACGACAAGCTGCGTTCTACCAGAAGCAAATCAGACACTCCATTTCTAACTAGGACGGCGACCTCGTCGAGCTCAAGCCATAAGATGCCTTCTACCCGCGAGCTCCCGCGAGGACAACTACCCGCAACGTGACACCGCCGCCTTTTACGACCTCGTCATCGGCTCTAGGCTCGCCGCCCTCGCGCTCGTCTGGCGTATCTTAGAGTTTCGCCCTGCGGCACTCTACACCGAGGATGACCTGCTGCGTCTCCGCTCGCTCCGGCGCCGCTGCTATGCTACGCCCACTACTTTGGAAAATGAGCGGCGCGGACCCAGCGCAGAGAAGCGGCGCGGCACGTGCCCCGGGCGCATGCATATCCTCGTCGTCGATAGGCTGGGTGGGCGGCTCGCTACGTGGCACTCGCTGCTCAGAGCGTACATGACTCCACGCTCGCCGATGTTCTTCCAGTCCTGCTTTGGAAGATGTCGCGGCTTCAATGCGACGATGAGAAAAGCCGAGCATTACTGACAGCACGAGATAACTGCATCCTCACCCATTTCAACTCGTGGCAGTGGGCTTTATCGCAACTAACCACTGAATGACTCCAAGACGATCCTTCGGTACAACAAGGCATGCCTAAGAATCATGAAGGACGGATGAGCTGGGTGAGTCTGTATCGACGATGTCAGATCCTGTTGCATATGACTGACCAGAGGACGAATATGGGCAGGGCATTGAACAGCACGAAGGAGAACTGTCAGTTTCTTCGCCTGGTGGAATCTCTACGTGGACAGGCTTCGCTCCGTACGTCATCGGCTTGGTCGGGGTCTTCTTGCGCGGCTCTGTTCCTACTTCTCGCGCCCTTTGTGACTCGCCATGCTGGAACTTCCTTGATGTTATGGATCATACGGTAGCTCCTCGATGCAATTTTACCCTGGCTACTCGTATTCTGGAGCAAAAATGCTCCCAGCCAGGGTCGAACTGGCGATCTCCGGATTTCCCACGGTCACGTGGTCATTATTATGAGACCGGCGCTCTAACCAACTGAGCCATGGAAGCTTGTAAACTCCGTATTAATAGTAATATATATCACCACAAAATATGCATTATTTCATTAATCGTGTATATTATGAAACTAATTGTTAATTACGTAATCGGAAACTTGAACTTATTCGTGTGGCTGACTTCACCCCGTCCTGCCACACTGCCAGTCCTGATTCCGACGCGTTCATTCTCTCGTCTATCGGGCCTACCTGTCCTTGCCGCAATCTCTTGAATACGTGTTGCTTGGACTATTCTCGGTTTTCTTGCTGCTCTTCGATGAATTCCCGGAAACGACAGGCGCCCGAAGAGCTACTTCCTCTTCGCCACAGCAAGCAGGCTCGGAGATCTCGAGCTCTCTACAACGGCGAAAACACTAGTCCATCGCAACAGGAAGGGATACTGGCACGGTGGATACAGCTTACGAGCGAACTCTTCACCCTGACCTTCGAGACGCTTGGGCATATATTACCAGGTATGTCCTGAGATAGCCGTGGCTCAGACTACATGGGCTCAACGCCGGTCCAGATTTGTCGAAAGCCTCTTCACCATCTATACCCCCTCCTCCGTCTTCCGTCGCTGGTTCTTTTCCTCCTCCTCCGAGGTCTGTCGGCGCTCCTCCTCGAGCGGCTCCGCCTCGACCGGTTTCCAAGCTTTCGTCAGCTGTCAAGGCAAGGCCTTCTCCGAGTTTATCTGCTGCAGACTCTAGTAGCCCGGCTGTCAAGGCTGAACCAAGCGCGTTCGTACTCTCACCTCCAACCCCGCCTTCAGGCACTCCTTCTGCCCCTGCCCCCGCACCCTGTGGGGACAGCTCAACAGACTATCGTGTACTGTACCCTGAAATCCACGCTGCACTGAGATCTTCAGAGCGAAGGAAGTGCGGTGCTGAAAATCGCAAACGAATCCCACGCAGAGAACATATATTCGCGAAGATCGTGAGTGACACGCTTTGTCCTGTTGTCCCCGCTCTCATCGCCGTTATCCGCAAAAAGCACAAGGCGCAGGTCATGGTGGAGAAACAGAAGCAGCGTGAGCAAATGATGAAGGAATTGTACACCATGCGGCGAGCAGCTGGTACGTTGTATGTTATCGCAAGCTGGCTTTGTGTCGCTGAACGCATGATCGTAGGCTATGGCTCCAACTTCCATACGTTCCAAGGTATATGCTTTTGCTGCTTCTGACGTATGATCTGGCGCTCACGTTGGGACAGACTATATGAACTACCGGGCTCACCTGGAATTGCTGGAACGACGCGAAGCGCTTCCTCGTATGTGCCATACGGAGTTGCTCAAGGCTCACTCGCTGATTCCCTTCCAGCTTCCCCTTCTCTGGCCGATCTTCGATCAAAGTCGCCCGCACAGAGAAAGGAGCGGAGGTATTCTACGTCTGATGTATGTCTCTCCATACTGCCCACGTGGTTATATTCGTGACACCTGATCCTGCAGTACGTCGAGACCGACTTGCTTACGAGAAGTCTGGAGAAGGCGAGGGAGACGCTCAATAGGTGCGCAACAGAATAAGAGTTGCCGGCGGAGACCGTTGTCACTGACGCTGGGGACAGTCCTAGACCGCCAAAACCTTTCATCCCCAGCTTTGACCAATTACGGATATCAGCGCGCAACAAGGACGAGGCCATCGAACGCACGCTCCGCCCCAAACGCCCGCCGTTACCTGCGTCACTTCCTCCTGAGGATGAGGCGCAAGTGGCCGACTTCTTGGCGAACCCGAAGTTTTTGGCTAGGCTGAAGCGAGAAAAAGTTGCCGCGCCTGATCTCGAGAGGCTGACGCCGGGTCTATGGCTCAACGACGAGATCATCAATTTCTACGGCGCTCTCATGATGTCACGGTGGGAGACGGAGAAGGAGAACCGGGCGAATCAGCCTCAGGGAAACCCGACCGGGAGGGCAGGTTCTCGGCTTCTAAACATCCACTACTTCAATTCGTTTTTCTGGCCAAAACTATTGAAAGAAGGGTATACTACCTCGTTAGCGAGGTGGACAAATAAAGTAAGTGATCTGGATGCTCACCTGAGGGCTGTTAGTAATTGGATCCTCCAGGTTGACATATTTGCGAAAGACGCCGTCATTCTGGCGGTTAATCATGGCAATTCTCATTGGACTGCCGCCGCTATCAACTTCCGACGTAAGCGAATCGAGTCGTATGACAGTATGGGTTTTGTCCGGGACACGGTCTACAAGGTACGTGTCTGTATGCGCTGGTCCGATTATTCGTGTCGAACAGTCTGGTAGGTCCTCCGTGACTATCTTGATGGCGAACATCGGGACAAGAAGAAAAAACCCTTTGATTTCACTGGTTGGGAGAACTACACGTTGGAGGTACAGTCATCTTCGCATCGCCTACCGTTTTTACACTGCGATCCTGACTGCATTCTCCGTCGCAGGCTACACCTCAGCAAGAGAATGGATACGACTGCGGCGTATTCACATGCCAATTCATGGAATACCTCTCCCGAGGAGAACAAGAGTTCAATTTTACTCAGGAGGACATGCCATACCTCCGGAGTCGCATGATCTGGGAAATCGGAAACGTCCGATTGAGAGACGACTGAGACCTCCATTGTCCCGTCTTCACTGAAGAATTGTTTGTACGTTCAATCTGTTGTACAGTTAACATTATATTAGCATTAGTGGGTTTGTACATCATAGTCCCGGCCTGGAGGGATGCTTTTCGTGTCAAGTCCGTGATGTCTGAGGGCAAGAATTGATCGCGCGCTATCGCCGAAACCACCATACAACAATGAAGAACCAAAAGACAAATACAAGGAACACGATATACCACAGCCAACGGCAGCCATGTCGTTCCGCCATGTTGTTCATACGGCGGAAGGTGCCAGAGAGAATGTCTCCCGTCTCCGCAAATGCGTCGTTCTAAGAAGTCAGAATGTCAGCAGATGTCCTTGCAACCCGCACCGTAGCTCACGTACCATATGGCTCAGCTGAATTGTAGAGTCCCGGACTTCGTTGCCAATGCCGATTGTGATCTGAGGAAACCGGTCACTCTCGGACGGCTTTGCAGGTGAACTGAAGGACAACTCACTCACATCCTTTAGCATCTTCACTTTCGCAGTCAAGTTCTCCACTTGCTCATCATTTTGACCCTCCAGATCGTCAGCATATCGCTGACCGCCGAGAGACCCGTCAAAGGGTGATGACCGCCCTGAAGACGGCGGGGTAATCCGACTGTCAGGGACACCCAGTAACGTGGACCGGTCGCGCAGCCCAGGTTGGGGAGACAATCTGTATCTTCAAAAGATGGAATGTGGGAGACGGCGAGGACTGGTATACGAAGGGGTGCTGACCTTTGAGACATATTACACGTCTGTGCGGTAGAGGTTCGAGACTAGCAAGTATTCATACCAGTGTGTGGTCGATTACACAGTCGCAAAGTATGAACTGGCTCCACGTCGCCCTGGTCGTCTCCCTTCGCACGGGTGCTTAACCTTACGCTAAAATGGCTGGCCCCTTCTCGCACGCCATAGCAAACGCACGAAACGCTGGGTGTCAACAATGATATCGATCTCTTCGGGATCCATTATACCTAACGATACATCTGTATTCCTATCAACACGACGCCGCGTACGGCAACGAGGGTAAAAGGCCTGAAGACCAGAATATATACGCCTGAATGTAGAACCAGCAACAATATGTCAAGCGTGAATAATATAGTAGTAGATGTTGCGAACAACGGCGATCTTGATGGATGGAGGAGGAAGATCAGGCAGTGTGGATGCAGCGGAAAGTGCGACGAAGGATATGCGGGGAAGGGGTAGTGGGCAACGTCCGGCATGGACGAGGAGATGCAATGGAAGTAGATGATCAGCTAATGAGTACAAGTCCATATGAACGGAAACAGAGCATAGATGGTTAGTCTATACTCATCCGGTTAGGGTTCTGGCTCATCGCACGATTCACGTGTTGTGAGCCCCACCGGCTGTGCGCTGTTGGGCCCTTCTGGTTCTTGTCCACTGCGAATGGAAAAGATCAGAAAATAGCTAGAGTAAGTGTCGAATGCACCTACTTTGCTGCTTCAACCCTCGGCCGAAATTGCTTATCACCATGCACGCCATGACGAATGTTGTTAGGAGAAGGAGCAGGGCAATTACGGCTAGGTATTCGGCTATGAGACTGCCAGACAGAAAACATAGTGATGAACACTCACAAAATATAGTAAGTGTTCTCCAAATCAAGAGGAACTGGGTGGTGGTTCTGTACATCATGACTTTGACAAGCTGGCAAGGCGGCCGTCAGAACAGATTATGGAAGGACTTGAGGAGATACTGGGCTACCTTATATACGAAGTACACGAGGGCGCCGACGCAACCGGACATGAAAGTAGCCATCATCCATCGATTTTCATGTCGTGCAGCCAAATGGCCTTCAATCAGCAGAACGATGGAGAGCGGTAGCGCAGCACAGGTGACGTAGTACTCCCAGTCCCTGTCGTTGTTCAGGACTAGCCAGATGAACTGCACCGAGAATCCAACGAAGAAGAACAGGTCGAACTTCATCAGGCACTCGAAGATCTGGTAATGCGCATACATCTTCTTGATCCTCCGGTCGGCTCCGAGGAACTTATAGACTTTCCAGCCGAATTCGTTGTAGATCTTCCACCCAAGCGCCATGTATGCGACTTCTGCCACAGCGATAACGATAGGGATGATCGTCGTCAGGTAGCTAATGGGAATATGCGACACTCCAGTGGGTAGTGTAATCTCGTTCAAGGCGTCCTGGACTTCTCCCTTCTGGATAATGGCATAAATGAGGAGGAGTCCATTAAATATGCTGGCACAATGATGACATGTCAGAACAATGTTTGATCCGCGGTAACCAGACCTACGTGAGCGCTAAGAATTGCAACGTGTTACGATTGTACACGGCATCGCATGCCATAATGAACTGGAACACGCTGGGAGATTGGATTGTAAGCTCAGAAGCAGAAGGAGGCGGGTAGAGGAACATACTGGGCCAGCGCGAATATGCTCAGATACACAGGCATTT